CAGCCACTGACGAAATTAAAAGGCTTTTATTTTTGAGCTGTTGTTGGTGCTGCTGCTGAGAAGAGGCAGCAGGAGAGGAGGAGGAAGAAGACTCTTCAGCCATCTTCACATCGAGTCCAATAAAATCCACGGAGTCCTCAAAGCGCAGCTTCTTCTGGAGGTGATGGTTGGAGGAAGCAACCCCTGAAGAGGAGCACGAAGTGGTGATGACAGTGGAAGATGACGAGGAGGTGTTTTTGGAAGGAGAAGAGGTGCAGGAGGAAATGGAATCAAATTCTTCTTTTTCAGAATTACTGTTGCTGCTGTTATTTAACTTTCTCTTCTTGCAGGAGGAGCTGCTGCTAGTATTACCATCAGTGGCAGGTCTGACCTCCTGGGCTGCAGCTGGGGGGTTGGGGGAAGAGAAACCTGTGGGAAACATGAACACACAGAAGTGAACAGGCTGAGGGGCATCAAATCCTTGTGGTGTGACAAAGAGAGGGAGAGTTTTAGAGTCAGTCTCTGTTTGCTGTTTCTCGAGGGGGGGTCTTTCAACTCCTCCTTCTCATCAGTGGAGTCCTTCCGTATTCCCTCTCCTTCGCGTTCTTCTTTAYCGGAGGAATCACTTTATCTCCTCTTCCCCTTTTCTTTATTACTTTGGTTCTTCTCGCAGTTTGTCTCTGCCTTCCTGCTTTTACTCCTTTCCCAGCGGAGCGTTTCCGTTCCTGCCTCTCGCCACCCACCAGTTCCTTTCAATTCTCCTCTCCAGCAGCAGAATTCCCCACGGCTGCCCGCTCCCCCGGCTTCTCCTTGCGCTACCCTCCTGCTCCGGCCGCCTCGTCTCCGCCGAGAAGCAGCGGGGAGGGCTGAGCGCGGCTCCCTGTCGCCTCGGCTCCAGCCCCCGGCCCCACACGGCCCCGCTGTGCCCCGCGGCCGCTCCGCACGGGCCCCGCTCCCCCCTCTCCGCCTGTGCCCGCGCTCCCTGAGGGGGGACGGCCCGGCCGGGTTGTTATTGTCACTGCACGGCGGAGGGAGCGCAAAAATGGCGGCGCATCCGCCCGCCGTGCATGACGGGGCGCGGCGCACGGAAGCGCGGCCGGAGCGCGGTGGGACCGCCCCGGGCCCGCCCCGAGCACCGCCCCGAGCACCGCCCCCGGGCCCCGCCGGAGCCTCCGCTGTGCCCGGCCCCGCTGGAGCTGATCACGGCTCCGTGCCCCCCGCGCTGGGCAGCTCTGTGCGGCAGGGTGCGGGCTGGGGTGTCCCGTAGCGGGGTCCCATAGCGGGGTTCAGCCCCGCCTCAGCCGCCCCGCCTCAGCCGTCCCGCCCCGCCCCGGGCTCGCCGCAGGTTCCGCCGCGGTCAGTGCGGTGCACGGCGGGCTTGGCCTCAGCCTCAGCCTCGCCCTGTGGGCTTGCTTTGGAAATGATTTTTCTTACACTTATTTATAAACGACCGTTTAGTGTCGGCGTTTTGATACTATTTTAATACATACGGACTTGCATTGGGCTACAGTCTATAGTTTGCTTTATTGYTTTTTTGTAACTTTTGGAAGCAAAAACAGGAGTGATAACCCTTTAGTGTCTCTTTTTTGATGTTGGTGGATCTCTTACCAAAGGGACCGTGAACTCCCCAGGAGTTTTGTTAGGATTCAGTGTTGAGAAATGGCTGTGGAAAAAGTAACAAACCAAGTGATGAAGTTTTGTTTTTGGAGATTCTCCATGGACTTCAGCCGAGAGCACACACCTGCCTGCCTGACAGCAGAGCTCCTCAGGGGAAGTCTGGTGGCACTTGTATGTTKGATAGGAAAAGATATGCTAACTTGTCTTGACAGAAACTGTGGTACATAGAGATAGGAATGTAATGTTACTGAGGCTCTTTGGGAGAATGTTTTGTGACTGAGTCACTGTCAGACAACTCCCGAGGCCTGGAATGTAATGCTTGTGATGTGTAGAACTTTTTCCAGTTTAAAAAAAACCAAACAGCAAAACAAAGCRTCAGTCAGGTTTTGACTGGCTTTAGAACAGGTTCCCAAGGMTACTAAATTACATTCCAAGTCAAATGTAACAGAAATAAACAGGTTTGCTAAGTAAATAAAACTTGCACGAGTATGCTGTAAAGTTCCTTGTGTTCCCAGTAACTGTCATGTTCACTTAAGCCAAATTAGATAAGAAGTAAACAGATGTAAGAGTTGCAAAATTCCTATACTCTTGGTTCATTGAAAGGATTTGATTTACAAAAAAGACATGAGTAAGTGTCTCTTTTCCTGAGGCTGCTGTCTATGCAATCATTCAGGGCAAAACAGTTAATGACTGTCCCATCTGTCAGAATATTTATCTTTTGGATATGGGAGAGCAGGTGGAGGCAGGGTAAAGTTCTGGGGATCCAGGAAGAAGCCAAGTGTTATGGATTTCCCTCTTTTTCTACTGAAATTTACAGGGGGTGAAATCCTAAACCCTTTCTATTTAGCACGTGATCCTGAGGAGTGGTTTCTGTCAGGGCTGTGGGGGTTGTAATACCATTTTCTGSATGTGCTCCTTGCTTTGTCAGTCTTGTCCAGGTACCATGCTTTTAAAATGTTGGTACTTGAAAGTGACCCGTCAATCAGAGCAAATGTCTCCAGCTTTTTGGTGGTGAGGCTGAACAGCAACACTAAGAGCTATGTTAACCTCCAGCCAAGGTCCTTGAAGCCTTCTTCAAAAGTGCTCTGTAAAAGCATTTTTAGATTGGGTGAGCAGTTACCTGGCTCTGAAGTCTGCAGCTAGCCCAGCAAAAAGCATTTGGAAGAGAAGATGGCGAAGCTGAGACCAGACTCAAGGTTAGCTCAGCCCTGAAGGGAACCAGTGATCCAAATGCTTTAAGGCATTAGAATTAGAGAGGTAAGACTTTCCTCTTGACAAAGGCAATTTTTGATAATTAGGGCCTAATCTTGCTGTTTTAGGCAATCATGAAACCAGTGGCTCAGATGGCTTCGCTGAGAAGTGGTATCTTTCTTGAGAAGGGTAGAAGTTTACCTTGTGTTTCTATCATTTGAGGTAGAATATGATGGATTTTTCATTACAGTTTTTAAAAATGTGGTTGTTTACATGGTGAAGTACTATTTGATAAAAATTTTTCTGAGGAGTAYCAAAAATGTATGGAAATGTTTGTCAGTGTGATAAAGTCCCATTCTCACTTTTTAATCTGGGCATGAGCAGTGGTACTGTGTTTCAGTTAAAACTGAATTCTTGATTATAACTCAGTATTTTTAGTGATGCTACAAAGTAGGCGAAGGTGGTGTTCATGAGTGGAAAATGCTTGACTATTTACGTAATGCCATAGTTCATTCCTATCCTTTAAAAAAGTTATTAGTGTGTTCCTGATGCTGTACTTCATTATTTGAATGATACCATGGCATAAAACTTGATTTTTACTTTGTATGACTGATGAAACTTTTAAGTATTAGGTTTTAATTTGTTATAGTATCAAAGGTGATTAAATTGTTTTTCATGGAAAAAAAGAACTTGGTTGTTAGCATGATTATATTTTATATAATATCATTCATCTTTTATAATGATATATATCTTTTAATATACGATTTTTTGTCCTCTCTTCCCTCCTCTTTATGCCAGTCGTAGCATTTCCATGACTCTAAAAATTAACAGTGTGGTCACCTGTATGTCTTTTTATATAGCAGCCACCAGCCTAAGGAACAAACACAGGCCTGCTCCTAAAAGAATGAAAAAGCGGTGTGGTAAATTCCGTCTGCCTATGGTTTTCTATTCACAATTGCTGCAGCCATTACCAAGCAAAATCTAATTTGATTGCAATAAACACTGTGGATGGTCCTCGCCACCAAAACCCATCTCTGCCTGGCAGCCAAGATCTTCTCTGCAAGCCAGGCTTTTTGCGCTCCCTCCCCACCTTGAAGGATGTGGCACTGTCACCTGGGACTGACTCCCAGCCGGCTATAGTATCTTGTTTGATAAGAATCCCATTTTCCCCCCAGAATGCTGTTGACAGGATCTTGTGCCCTGGTTCTGAAGATGGCCGGAGAACAGCTTCGGCTGTGCTAGTTTGAAGGCGGCTGTGGTTATTCCTGTTAAACGTACTTTGCGTTTAAATGTCAGCAGCTATTAGCACTTTGCTCTTCTGTTAAAGGATTTGTTTTAACGGAAGGCGAGCAATTACCTGGGAAAACAGCGCCGTGCCTGTAAGTAGCGAGCACCAGGTTGTTGTGAAAGCCTAGCACGGCCGCTGTTGCGCAAGGGGCAGCGGSTGGGCAGGCGCTGATGCCGAGGATGCTCGCGCAGGCACCGGCTCGCCGCACGCCGCGCTGCCGGCTGGCCCCGCCCGTTCCGCGGTGATGGAGCGGCGCTTCCGGCGGGCGC